TCGAGAGGGCGAGAGAGAAACAGGATAGAGAAGGGGAAGAGAGAAAGAGGAGAGAGAGAGAGAGAGAGAGAGAGAGAGAGAGAGAGAGAGAGAGAGAAAGAAACAAGATAGAGAAGGGGAGAGAGAGAGCGGTGAGGCTTGCACCTGGGACGAGGGATGAGCTTTGTTATTACGGGATGCGGGGAAACTATACGGAACAAGGGAAAATTTATAAGCGTGTGGAAGGAACAGGGCTTCCCCGCGTAACGTGTTGGTTTCGACAGGAAGTCGATTAATCAATAATCAATTAAATAATTAACTTAATTCACTCTCGTCTGCTCGTCTTTATTTAGGAAAGTCACACGCGATCAAATCTGTATTTTGCTTCTCCCAATATCTCACAATTTTACGCGGGATTTTTACTTAATTCTTCTGGTAATCACCCCATACGCACACGCTCTATTTTTCAAATTAAAACTCATGCTACCGCACACGAATACAAAATGGCGGACAAACGCAAAGCGCGGAAGCGTGTGCTAGCGTAGCGTCGACGCACATGCTTTGGTTTGTTCTTTTGTTTCAGTATATGCAACGACACGAAAGCGACGTGAACAGCAATGCGAGGATGATAGATGGCGCCATATGCACGAGTATTTATCGATCGTTTTAGCTGAAAGTAAATTAAATAAACGAAGATCGAAACGAAAAGTTGAATAAAATAACGTGAGAAACAAAACCAATACGCAAATCAACGATTTAACGAAAATTAAAAGCGAGCGATAAATCGAGTGATCATATGCCTCTGATTAGAAAAAAAATCGTGAATTGAAAAAAGAAAACATTCGAAATAAATTAACCAATCAAATCATGGTAAAGGAAAAAAAAACAATGAGCAGCTACAGAGATCTGCAGAGCGAGACGTGAAGTGACATTTAAAAAGAAGGAAGGCGGAAAGTTAATCATCTAGTAAAATTAAAGGGGATATTGGGTGTGGGGCAATGCGGGGGCGAAGGACAGCGGCCGAGGGTGAGGACATGGCACCATATTATTCATGCGGGTTAGGAGGCGCGGAGGTGCAGCAGCGGACCTCGCCACACACACACACACCCGCATCTCGTTCATCCATACAGTATAAGCCAGTCAAGTTCGGCTGCGTTCGGTGTCACCGGAGCGCCCCCTCGCGGCCGTACGCCGAGTTACGAAGCGTTATCGCGGTGTTAATTGATTGATTTGATGATCGATCGAACCCTAGTACCCGTAGACGAGCGGTCCCGCGATACCCCTTTTCTGAGCTACATAGGGGAGATTGTTGGGGGCCACACGTAGGTCACTGTGGGGGCCACACTTAGGTCACTGTGGGGGCCACACGTAGCGTTATAGCCAACAATAAGGAATACCCAACTGTGGGGCGAGAATCGGACCAAAAATCCGCCATTTAGTATTATCTAAAGCATGGGGAAGTCATTCCTATTCTACAGACCAATGGTTTGTGCATTAACCCTAACTATAAATTTATCATTAACCCTAACCCTGACCCTGTCTCTACCCTTAACCGGAACCATAACCCAAACCATAACCTTAATGCGAACCCTAACCGTAAACCTAACCCTTACATTAACTCTACCCTTAACCATAAACTTTACTCTAACCTTAAGCCAAACCCAGCCGTTTACCCTAACACTGTTCCTGACCCTAACCCTACCCTTAACCTAACCCTAACCTTATCTAACACTTGCCCTAACTTTTAATTGATAATTTGGGTACCCTCCCCCCGCTAGCTACAGCCCTGGCCATGCATCCTCACGTCCTTCACTTTTACCAGCAGAGAACAACCAACGCCCCACGACACACACCCCCATTACACACACACACACACAGACAGCAGCACCACACCACACACACAACACACACACCACACGCACCGCACCGCACGCACGCAACCACACAACACACACCACACATCACCAACACACACCACCCACACCAACACATCACACCACACACCAACACCACCCCACACTCACAGACACACCACACACACACACACACACCCCACACCCACCACCTCGCCGCGCGGCGGCCGTCACGCAAACACACCCACCCACCCACCCACTGTCGTGTGTCCTTTGATCAGAGATCGGGATCTAGACTCGATATAGTTCCCAGAGGGAGGGAGGGACGGACGGAAGGAGGGCCCCCTTGTCCCTTTCTCTCGGAGGGGGCGCCTGGGTGACACCTACGCAATGAGAAAGAAAACCATCCGAAGCCAGCCACGAACAAAACACCTTGTATCAACGAGCAGAGCGGCATCACACGGATGACCTTTGACTTTTGACCCGTCACTGAGGTCAAGAGGTCGCTTACCGTCAAACGTGCCGGGCAGGATGTGACGTAGAAAATTCCTTTGCAACTGGAGTACCTCGAGCGCATCCATGTCTACATCCCCGGGATGCGTGGCGGGAAATCAGAATACGAAAAACAACCAGAAACAACGTGTATGCATGTGTATACACCATGAAGTAGCAATGATGTCGGAGGCGCGCCGATAGGGGGCGCCGCGTGACGGCGGCGTTTGCGCTGCTCCCTGTCGGCTGCGCATCGTCACTATTCATGACGTCAC